CCCCTTTCAAGTTGTTGTTTGGAGCTGGACGGATTAGATATAATACTAATAAACAAATGTAGAGGCGGAATCGGAGTAGAGCCATGAATTCAAATGCTAATAACAGAATTCTAAGCTTATATATTTAATAAAAAGTTTAACATATATGTAAATAAAAATTATTAATTTTGGCCGAACCCATAATCGGGTACTAGCTCCGCCCCTAAACAAATGACCAATTGATAGCGAAGGTTACCGAGAGATTCCCACATAGGGATCCACGTGAATTTTTTGGCTACTTATACTTTTTCCTAATTTGCTTTAGATGCATTATTATTATGTGTGGTGTCTTTTTCCTCCTTATCTTCTGGAAGATTCATTAAAGATTCACTAATTATTTACATACGAAAAGTAGGTTTAGTGCAAGAATGCTTTGACTTTCTGTATTAATATAGAAAAAACTAATAAGACAAAAATGTATCATGAATTATTTTCCAAAAAGTTGTGTCTAATTATAGTTTTTCAGTCGTTGAGAGGATTAGAAGTGACGTGAGAAAATAGAAGAACTTTCTTTTTGATTTTTTTAATTTACTTTTTGGCCTTTGTACAATATATGCTACACAATGGACCACTTACATTATAATTTATTTATTGCAATGCAATTTGGTCCATGCACTTACACAATTTTTTTGGGTTAAAACTTTACAATTTTATTTTAATGTTGTCTTTGCATATAATTTTAGTGTAAACGATGAGATATAAGTAATAAAAGGAAAGATAAAACATAACCTTAAGTTTACAAGATATCAAGAATTTTGATACCATCAATCTTGTCAACCAATTAATTTAGATTAAAAAATCACTTGATAAATTCAAAGGAAATTATCAAAGAGGAAAAGCATGGGTTGATAGTCAAATACTCAAATGCCTTTAGAGTGTGGATGAATCTCGTGATAGTGCCCAGAAGGGTAAATATTCATTGGTCATTGTGTATGACATGATAGAAAGTTACTTTTTTAAACAAGAAATTATTTTTTTATATTTGGTTATGAGAAATATTTTGCAATAGTTTTTTTTTTCATCGTGGAAAAAATAAA